CCACCCCTCTGCCTCCATTCCCCTCATGCCCCTTAAACCTCAAATGTGCCTTGCTCCATCCCCACCTTTCTCATGCCCACCCCTCCTTTCAAGCCTCCCAGCACCTCCCCCTCCCCCCTTCTAACCACCAATGCCCTTCCCCTCTCCTCTCCTCTCCCAGCATCACCCTGCCCCCCTCCCACTGACATCCCCTCCTGCCCTTTTCCTAATTGTCTCCACTTGGCCCCCTGGCATTTGCCTCTCCTCTACCCTGTCCCTTGGTGCTTTCCCCTTTCTTCTCCTGACCTGCCCCCCTCCCCTCAGCACAAGCCCCTTCCTCTCCCACCCCTTCCTCTTATTTTCCCCCCTTCCCCTCCCCTCCCCTCCCCTCCCCTCCCTTGACTTCAGCTGGGGCTGGAGTCAGAGCTGGCCCAAGCTACAGGCCAGCCAGGTCCTAGGCGGGCACCCTGGGGTGCCGCGCAGTGCTGCTGGGCCGGGCGGGGGCATCTCCGGGGTGCCTCAGGGGGAGGCCACGCGATGCTGCTGGGCCAGGCAGAGGCGCCCCCGGGGCACCTCAGGGGCCCTGTGCAGTGCTGCCGGGCTGGGCAGGGGTGTCTCAGGGGCACCACGCAGTGCTGCCAAGCCGGGCGGGGGTGCCCCCGGGTGCACAAAGGGTGGTGCTGCCGGGCCCAGGGCGCAAAACTGGCTCGGGCCAGCTGGCGTTTGTAGTCAGGCCCCAGCTCCTTCTGGAGCTGGGCCACGCGGTTTGAGTGTCCTGGGCCGTGACATCAAGCCACGCCCGGGTGTCTCCTCTCCTCTTGTGCGGCGTTTGAGCACGCCGCGCATGCACTCTCTGCGCCCCACAGTGCCCTGTTGATGGCCGTGGGGAATTTAAAGTGAGGGTCCGTGGCACCCTGTCACAAATCCCTCTCCTCCTCCAGCAGCCGCTAGCAGGCCCGAGACATTAGGGTGTGCCTGGGTGCACGCCTATGGGTTGGAATAAATGGTCAGTTTTCAGAATGGAAAGTAGTAACTAGTGGTATCCCACAGGGGTCTGTGCTGGGACCAGTTCTGATCTGGAGAATGGGGTAAATACTGAGATGGCAAAATTTGCAGAGGATACTAAACTGCTCAAGGTAGTTAAAAACAAAGACTGTGACGAGCTTCAAAAAGGATCTCACAAAACTAAGTGATTGGGCAACAAAATGACAGATGAATTTTCATTTTGATAAATGCAAAGTAATATTGGAAAACATAATTCCAGCTATTTTTACAAAGTGAAGACCCAAGAGAGATCTTTGAGTCCTTGTGGATAAGTTCTCTGAAAACAACCACTCAGTGTGCAGCGTCAGTCAAAAAGAAACAGAAAGTTGGGAATCATTTAAAAAGGGATAGAAAATAAGACAGACTGTCTTATTGCCTCTGTATAAATCCATGGCATGCCCACATCTTGAACACCTCATCTCAAAAGAGACATCTTGGCACTGGAAAAAGTTCAGAGAAGGACAACAATGATTAGCGTTCGGAAGGGCTGCCATGTGAGATGAGATTAATAAAACTAGGACTTTTCAGCTTAGAAAAGAGGCAGCTAAGGAGGCATATTATAGAGGTCTATAAAATAATGACTGATGTGGAGAAAGTAAATAAGGAAGTTATTTACTTGTTCCCATAAACACAAGAACTAGGGGGCCATCAAATAAAATTAATAGGCAGCAGGTTGTAAAACAAACAAAAGGAAGTATTCCTTGACACACTGCACAGTCAACCTGGGGAACTCCTTGCCAGAGGATGTTGAAAACCAGGACTTGAACCAGGTTAAAAACAAAACAAAAAAGAACCCCACACTAGATACATTCATGGAGGTTAGGTCTATCAGGGGCTATTAACAAGGATGGGTAGAAATGGTGCTCCTAGCCTGTTTGTCAGAAGCTGGAAATGGATGGCAGGAGAGGGATCATTTGATTATTCCCTGTTCTGTTCATTCCCTCTGGGACACCTGGCACTGGCCTCTGTAGGAATACAGGACACTGGGCTAGATGGACCCTGGTATGATACCCACACCTGGGGGAGGTCAGAGAACAGGGGTATTAAAACCAGTCACATCCGAGTTTAAGGTCAGAAGGGACGACCAGATCACCTAGTCTGACCCCCCTCCACACCCACTACCGATCCCAACAGCCAGGGTCAGACCAAGCCATGGGAAGCCCAACAGGAGAAAATAGGAGCGACTGAAGTGCCAGCGATGCCCAAGCCTCCTGCAGCAACAAGGAATTGATTTATGGAGCGCTAACCTGACGAGGCTAGCAGGGAGCCCTGCTCTGCACTGCAGAGAAAGGCAAATAACCACCAATGTCCCTGCCAATCTGACTGGAGGGGCTTTGCCTTGGCTCAGCAAGGCTGTGCTCAGACTCTTCCCAGCCCCAAACATGATCAGCACAATCCTGAGCATGGGCGCAAGACCCACCAACCAAGCATGGGAATGGGAGAAAATTCTCAGTCCTCATCTCAGTTGGGAGAAGAGCCCACAGTCCGTCTCCAGCTGATGTTAAGAGGAAGGAAAAAATAACCCTGAACACACTAGGGGAAAAGTGTGCTTCCCAATCCCCACAGGTTCCCACTACTCTCTGAAGATACCATGCTCGGAAGACCTTCACCACCATAACGAGGTGGTGCCCAGACCCCCGCCTCCCAGGCCAGGTTTCTGAGCCCTGCCCAAAAGGGCTGCCACAGAATAAGGGTCTCCAGCTGCTTTGACTGCATTTCGCTCAGTCTTTTCCTTACGGGAGACAAGGCCCTCTAGCCCCTCCCACAGCTGTCTCTTACCTCAAAGATGAACATGTGCCTCCCAGCTGGGACAGGCCCCACCAGCACCGAGTCCAGCACCTGGTCATACTCCTCACTTTCTGCAGAGCCCACATAGATGATCTTCCACTCCAGGTCTGAAAGGGAAGGGGAGCACAGTGAGCCTGGGCAGCCACCCCTCGCAGAGCAGCCCTTGAGTAATGCTGGGGCTCTGGGCTCATGTTAGGGTAACTGAGCAAGGTTTACACCAATGCAACCATCTGACCCTGATGCTTACATTCCACATCAGTTCCCCATCCAGACCTAGTGATCAGTGTCTCACTTACAGGCCACCACCCCACTGTGCTGGGCACTGCCTCGACACTCTAGAGACACCACTATAAAGCAGACAAGAATTATTATGCCCCTTTTACAGAGGGTGAAACTAAGGCACAGCAAGATTAAATGACTCGTCCTAGACCCAACAGTCTGTGGCACAGCCCAGAACCAGATTCTGGTCCTGAGTCTTAGGCAAACACAAGACCATTTGACTTAGCTGCAAGTTCCTTCCCTTCTTCCTACCAACCAGTGTTCCCTCTAATCTTTCCTGTCCATGTGCTGGTGGGCACCACCAATAGAAAGACAAAACCCAGCTGTGGGTGCTCTGCTAGTCAGCTGGGTGGCACTGGACTCTCTCCTGCGTGGCATCAGGGAATACTGCTACCAAGCCATTTGTTTGAGGGATAGGGATCCCAGACGGTTAGCTCCTGTGGCCAGCCAACAAGAGACAGGAGTCTGGCAAGTGCAGAGACCATAGGCCAGAGCAGAGTCCCTGACGGGTGCAGCCCCAGTGGAAAGGGTGCCAGGCTGTTAGAGCAGACTTTGCTCTTTAAAGCTCACCAGATATTTCCTGATTATGACCCAAGGGCTCTTAAGCATTGTCTGCACCAGTTTAAGGCCAGAATGGTTTTGTTGAAATCCCCCATCTGTCTGCCTGGTTCCATCTGCTGTCCCCTGCCTAGTACTTTCCTCAGATTCTCTTTGAGGCGGCCTTCTTTTTGCTGTTTGTACAGTGCCTGACACAATGGGACCTTTGTCATGTTACCTCGTAATTCCATTCCAAGCAAGTCCTACTCTGGTTTTAAGTCAGGTTAATAGTCAGTGCTCCTTCCAATACAGGTACCAGGGCTGCCAAACTGTCCGTTCAAAGGGAGGAGTTTCAACTCTGAGCCTCTTAGGTTTGGGTGGGTGCTGAGCTTTGGCAAAAGACGCACTCAGACATGTCTAAGTCTGAGCCAATGCCAGGCCTATGCCCCCAAGCACAGACAAAGCTCGAAGGATTAGGGGTGTGTGTGTGTGTGTGTGTGTGTGTATTGGGGGGAGGGGAGAGTGGCATTTCCACTTCCACACCAGAGGGAAGTGTTCCATGTAACATGCATGTACTTTCTAGGAGACTGGATTAGCTTACTAACCACTATTTAACATCCCTAATCGAGTAGTTGATTCTGTCGACTACTCGATTAGGGAACAGGGTTCACTGTGGCTCTGCTTTTTAAATGTAGTAAGAGCCGCTAGAGAACGAGCTAGGTCCCCGACGTTGGCATCTGCTTCCCTGCGGAAAAAGCCAGCTGGAGGAGGGGAAACCAGCTCTCTCAGCACTGGCTCCTGCCCCCCCACCCTTGCTGCCTCTCTCTTATAGATGCAACAAGGGGGGGGGGGAAGCAAGTAGAGTAGTGACTCGACTACCCAATAACCCTAGGCTTATCAGGTAATCAACTACTCCAGCATTTTTCAAACTGTGGGACCTGACCCCCCCGGGGGGTCACGAGCAACTCGGGGGGGGGGGTGTCACGGTATCACAAGTTTGAGATCCCCTGAACTACTCGACTAGTCACTTATATCCCTAGACTGGGTCAGGGTAGCTTTTACCAGGCAAAGTGATGTCACGCAGCAGAGGGGGTTTGGATTAAGGGGACATTCTCATAACAAATCAGAAACAGCTTTTCACACACAGATGCTCTATAAATTTACAAGAAAGGGGGATGTGCCAGCCATAGATTACATTACATAACAGACTAGAGTAGGTTCCTCATGCAGGGAAGCCTTCCTCAAGGAGCAAACAGCTGCATATACTCTCAAACCCCGGGAATGGGGCTAGAGCTCCTAGAATAGGGAATAGTGGGGGACAATCCCACATAAGCCCTTAAGAGCAAGGAATTTCAGTCAGATGGAGGACCAACACTCGCCCCTCCCCGCACTGGTGAGATTCTGCAGACAGGTTTCCCAGCACAGCATGGTGCGTCCTATTTGGGAAAAAATCCTGTGGGGCACCCCCGTACCCCCCAAAAAACCCTGCCGAGTAAGGCAGGCTATGTAGGTGGTGGTGCTGTGTGTGTGCGCACGCATCCCCCCCCTCCCCTCCCCTCCCACAACCTGGATGATGGCCTCAAAGAGGATGAACTTAAAAAACAACAAATGGTCTGCTACCCCCGAAGCTTTAAAGAGGACAGGGAGTCCAACAGCTGTCAAAGCTCCTGTCCCCTTGGCTCAGCAGGGCTGTGCTCAGACTCTGCAGACAGCTAATTTTCAAACTGTAAAGCCAGTGAGACATGCCAATTTTTTAGCCTCAAAGACAGTGGAGCGATTTGGCTGCCACCACTCCACAGCTCTGATACCCCCTGAAGTGAAGAGGCTCACAGTTTAGGCCATAGAGGGCTTTGCAAGGTACGCTTGCATGACAATGTCGCTCTGGGATTTGACATCTCACATTCACATTATCCCAACACCCCCCAGAAAGATTCTCTTCGAACCCTGGGCTCCTTTCTTCGAGAAGAGAAACCAGCCTCCCAAGAGATGCCTCAAAAGAGTCTTTTGGATGGGAAATGTTACTGGGGGAGGGCACACAAAGAACTACAAACCAACAGCCACCTTTCAGAGCCACCATGTTAAGTAGTGTCCCGTTCACATGTTTATCAGTGGCAAATATTCAACCCAGGAACATTGGCCCAAATTAGTCTGGACTCCATTAATCAACAAAAGGCAGATATTTTGCCCCTTGAAGTATCCAGACCAGAAGGATACTCTGGCCACCAAACTAAGCTATGAATAGCCTGCTTTCAGAAATGCTGGGCACACCTGATTCTCCCCCATCAGCAGCACCTCTTCTAATCATTCCATAACTGGCAACAAGCAAGCAGAAATTTGCAAGCAGAATTCCCCCGGCAGCCAGGTACGAGTCCTGTCCCTACTGGTAAGGGGCACGGTTATATGAGCAGGGTTAATCAGGCTAGCTCAGCTAGGTTATTTCAACACCAAAGAGCTCTCTGCAGCATGCTGAGAAGATCTCCAGATCAGATGTAGAACATGGGGGCATCCTTAAAAGGCACCTGGCTTTCTCCTCATGCCCAGTTCTCCCAAATGGCCACATCTGGCTCCAGACTCTTCGCCTGTGCAGGCATTTACAATGGGGACATTACGATGCGTTTAAATTCACACGGCTCTCTCAGCCTCTGAGGGCCTGACAACAAGGCGACCAGAGTGAACAATCAGGCCAAGAGATGGAGGGTGGGGAAGAGGAGCCTGCCCAAGACAGAGCATCTGGCCACCCTCCCTGGCAGAGGGGCCAACCCAGCAGCCTTTTTAAAACACCCAGCGTGTGTGTGGCAGGGTCCAGGCTCCCTGCACTGCGCAGCCCCCGGACGGTGAGGCAATCAGCTCCCTCCATGTTAGAGCCCGGAAGGGACGTGACCAGGGCCACAGCACGTCAGTGGCAGAGACCCCAGGCGTCCCGGCTCCTGGGCAGGCGTGGCCCTGGCAGAGGGGCCAACCCAGCAGCCTTTTTAAAACACCCAGCGTGTGTGTGGCAGGGTCCAGGCTCCCTGCACTGCGCAGCCCCCGGACGGTGAGGCAATCAGCTCCCTCCATGTTAGAGCCCGGAAGGGACGTGACCAGGGCCACAGCACGTCAGTGGCAGAGACCCCAGGCGTCCCGGCTCCTGGGCAGGCGTGG